ATATAGTAAGTTATATCATTTTTTTCCGACTCATTATTTTTAAATAATGCATGGCCTTCCATCAGTAAGCTATATACATCAATAAGTAGATGACAACGGATAAAAAATCGAGAGAAGCCGAAATTATGACATATTCTCAAGCAGAATTGTAAATATGGAAATAGACTTTTATTTATTATATATATTTATTATATATATATATATATATATATATATATCTCTTTGTGTGTCTGTGGAGAGAGAGAGAAAGAGAGAGAGAGAAGCACTACTGATAATTAAGTTTGAAATGCACCTAGCTCTGTAATCATTCAAATATAAATGACAATCAAAGTTAGTCATGTGATGGCACATTGCCACATTTATATTGCATTTATATATATATATTAAATGATTTTATTTTTTGGAGGTGAAAGGCAAAAAGGCAGAAGGGGGAAGGCCACATAGTAAGAAAATTTAAGCGATAAGCTTTTAATGGATTGCGTTAATTTTTAGTCGTAAATGCTTATGTCTTTTTTAGCCTATAATTAAATAAAGGATAAGAGGAAAGAGGTGGAGCCCTCATCCCTTCCTAGCAGGTGATCTGAGATTACCTACAAGAAGAAATTTGTCCCCAATCTACGTAGCAGACGACCAATGATATCCTCTTTCAAGTTACGACATGAAAGTCGTCTCCGTCCTATGTAGCAGCTGTCTAACAAAACCATCTTTCATGTTGCGGTGCAGAAGAAAATCGTGTCCGTATTGCGTAGCAGTTGACCAATGGGATCTTCTTCGTGCGGTGCACATGAAAGTTTTCCTCATCCTACATTACAGATGACCAACAAGATCTTTTTTTTATTGTGATGCAGAGGAAAGCCATTCTCTTCCTGCATAGGAGGCGTCCAACGGGATCTTCTTTTGTATTGCAGTGTAGAAAAAAGTAGTCTATATTATGCATAGTAGGCGACCAACGAGATCTTCTTTCCTGTTGCGACACAGAGGAAATTCGTCCTGACATGTGTAGCAGGTGATCAACGAGACATTTTCTCTTGAAAAAAATGCAGAGGAAATTCACCTCCAACCTGTGCAGCATACAATCAATGAGATCTTTTTTTCTCGTTGCTAAGATAAAGAAAGTAATCCCCTTCCCTGCCCAATAGGTGACTCAGGATCTTCTTGCTTGTTGTTGCTGGTCTGCTGCGCATTCTGGTGGAGATTAAGAAATGCACGAGTATTCTCATCACGCTTTGACGAAAAGATTTTCATGCTTCTGTGGTTGTGATACTGGAGACCCACTGAAGATCAGAAGAGGTACTGGAATTTTGTGGTGATGCCAACTTCACTCGATTATAAGCTATTTTGCAGTAGACATTGTACAAGCATATGTTGGTCTTATAGCCTTTCAGTTGTTTGTTGTAGTATTTGTACTCAGTGATGATGTGCTGTCAGCACAATTTTAGTTAAGGAGTCGCCGTTGAAAACTGTCGGCCGCCAGAATCGGAATCATGTCGCCCGCCCTAAAAGATAAACACAAGACTTGAGGGTGAGGCTCGATTAAATAAACTAAGAAATGTATGACATCTGTTTGGTCTGCGAAAATCATTTTATTTAAAAGCAGACAAGGTCCCCTATTTAATACAAAGAATTAAATATGGTTTATAATAAGTTGGGCTTGGAAAAGCTTCCTATAAGGGCAAACACCTATAATTAATTAAATCTTAGATAACAGAAGTCACCTAAGAAAACTCTCAATAAAAATCAGGGAATATTATCTTCACAGAGGTCAAAAGGATTTGAATTTTCAACGAGATCGGACAAAGAAGTGTGAAAGGAAAATGACTCAAATTTGGAATATTTATTTTTGGAATTAAAGGATTTGAATTTTCAACGAGATCGGACAAAGAAGTGTGAAAGGAAAATGACTCAAATTTGGAATATTTATTTTTGGAATTCAAAGAGGGAAAACAAAGGGATGTCATAGATCATGAGGAGAACCTCGATGACTTCCCAAATTATCCTACAGTTTGGCTTCTATTTTGGAGATTAAAATTATTGAATGTTTCATCCTGTCGATTTTATTAATTAGGGCTTACACCTGCATGAAACAATCACACAAATAGCCCGAAAGATATGAGGATTTAGGTCGTGACGAAGGACAACCTCTGAATTCTAAGACGAGTTAGGGCTTATATTGTGTAGTAGAGCTATACAAAAGCCTAAAGAAAAGTTGAGAATTTATGTTTCATAATCAAACCACCTCGAAGTCCTTTGGTTTGATTATTTAATTATAAAGAAAGAGTGGTTTAGCTGATGCAGGCATGTTCTATTGTTGAAGATGGTCGCGCTGCCCACAATGCTAGCTCCAAGCTTCTAGCCGCGGTAAGTTTAGGTTTTCTAATGTGTCAAGTTATAATGTCAAATCAGATGTCCCTAAGGTTATGTTCATTTAAATATTATGGGGCATATTAAATATTATGGGAGCGACACCGGTTAGGATCTCACGATTCCCTCGTTCCGGCACCACTATTTTCTTTCAGATTCACTTAGTCCAAATGAATTTTCTAAACTCAACTTAATGAGTTCCGTAATTTGATTTAGACCGTGGGAAATAGCCTCGTTAGCAACCGTAGGTTACATCATCTGAGGGATCCCCAATCATCCAATAGAGAACATTTTAATTTAGTTGTAATTTTTTTTTTTGTGATGTTTGTGATTAAATTTTAGTTGTCTTATATTTTGACTATTGTGGAGGTGAATTTTATCTTGTTTTGATTTTTTAATTTTGGTTTTGGTTCCTGTTTTGGTTTTACGGTTATCCTAGCAGTTTTGTTTTTTATGCAGGGTGACATCGTTGTTTAACATGCAAGCTCGAGGCAAGGAGTACAAAATGGTAAATGCAATAATTTAAAAGTGTACCTGTCAATTCTTCTCGTTCCTCCATCTGAAATGTTAGTACTTGCAAATCAGGTATATAATTTTGCAGGGAATTTAAATTGTAGGAGTAGATGAAGGTTTAGCTACCAAACCCCAAGTTATGACTTCATTGAATCTCAGAAGATCATAGTGAATGGTTTTCAAACAAAAATATGGCAAGCTTAATTTGCACTTCGGAATGTCTAATAGATTTCAAAATGCTCGAGACATGACCCTTGACCACTTTGAAGATTTCTTGAAATATTTCGAGTTCATTTTGAACTTATCATATTGATCCATTAATCCTCTGAGGTTGAAGTGTGACTACCCCGTTGCTCAGTAAAACTTGACAGTTTAATTATTCCGAGGATAGAATACCCAATTAATCAATTGATGTTTCATTTAAAAGTTATGTGAGTGGGTGCCCCTAAGGCAAGTTTAAGTCATTTAAGATTATGGTGTCCACAATTAAGGTCAGGCTTGTAGTGTTTAAAGATGTTAATCACCAATCATGTTATCTTCTAAATCTGATTAATTGAGTGTAGACATTGAGTCTATGTCACTACTATGTCTTCAATAAATATGATAGGTGGAATGACGATTATCAAAATTTTGATTTAAATGATATGCATTCTTATTGAAAGATCACATCATCCTTAACTTTGCATCCTTAACTTTGAAATTATCATATTTTCTATCTTAAGTCCATCACTTAAGAATCATTTGATCTTAGTTCCATCACTTAAGAATCATTTACTTAAGAATCATTTGATCTTAATTGACTTCCAAGACATGAAGATTAGGAGAATTATAGTATTGTTGATGTTGTGCAAATGTGGTGAGTGAGTTTCTACCTTTTAGTCTCATTGTATTTCAATCATCCAATCATATTTATTAAGATCAAAAATTCTAATTTTCCCTTGGTTAATCCTAAATTTTGATTAAGAACTAAAATCCAAAATGACTATTTTGTCTTTGGGGTACTTTACCTCATAGCTCATTAAACACAACTTAAATGACTTAAACATTCAGGGTGGCATATCCATGAGTTAATTGAAACATCAGAGGAGGATAATGTGGTTTTTCTTTGTGTTGTGTCTTTTTTTTAAATAATTATTTAAATTCAGAAAATAAGGTTTATAAAATTGATTTATTTAACTATCCAAAATAAATTTATTATTTATGGGAAAATTATTAGAGATTCCCTTAGGTCAGAGAAGCACTCAAGCAAAATTTCATGATTTTTTGAATTAAATTTTTATTATTATTTAATTTTGTATCAATTTTAATGATTTAATTAAATAGAAAATAGTGTTTTAATTACAAAAATTATTTTTATATTTTTATTAGACTTCTCTAAGTTCAAAAAACTCATAGAATCAATTTTTGTATTTCAATGATTTTTAATTTATTTATTATAATTATTTTAACGAGAAAATAAGAAAAAATTCATTTTTAAGCTTTTAAAATTTATTTTTAACTTAGAAAAATTAAGAAAAATGTCCTAATGAATTCTAAGTGATCAAGGAAAATTTGTACACATTTTGAAACTTTTTTTGTATTTTTGAAAATTTGATTATTTTAATTATTTTTAATTCAAAATACAGTTTAAAGATGACATATTTTCACAAAAATAAATTTTACTTTTATTAAATGCCCCTGATCACAATGAACTCAAAAAATTATTTTTCATGATTTTTCTAAGCTTATTTAATTTATTATAATTACTTTTGTGCAAAATCCAAAGTTTCTTTAAAAATTAATTTTTACGGTAAGTAAATATGATTTCTATGCACAATGAGAAATTGATTGTGTTAATTTTTTATAAGTATATAATTTACATAAATTAACACAAGATATATACACTTAAGAAAATATAAAAATTTACAAAATTATTCTAGTCATCATGGTATTTTTTCTAAGCTTCTCTAACTATAGAAAACCTACTAAAATTACTCTCATAATATTTCAATTGATCTTTTAATTTATATAATTAAAATAAGCCAAAATGGTCACCTTATCTTGAAAATTAAGATTAGAAGCATAGAGATGTCCTCTGACCTTGGAAAAATCAGAGGACATAGTCCCTGCATCAGGAACAAACCCTCAAAATTTCAAGCCATGATGAGTAATTTTTTATCATAATGAATTAAAATACTCTAGAGGGTATTTAATTCATTAAAATCAGTGAATAAGAAAATAATTTTTATTTTTAGTCATTATTATTCTCCTCTGTTCACTGAGCAAGAGAGTATTTTTTTTTATGATTTTCCCAGAGAAATATATGGATTTTCGAAGTTTAGGCATTTAAAACAATTCAGAAAATCCATATTGAAATAATTCAAAAAACACATATTTTTCTACTTATCCTACGCGACGCCAACTCATTCTACTGTGGCTCCGAACTCACACGCGACGAACTCCCATTCGTTGTTCTTTCCACCTAGGCATGCCACGAGGCATGCGGTTCATGGCATGCGGTTCACGCACCAAGAGTCTATCCGGCTCGATGTCCTCCGTCCATTGGATACACCCGCGATCGGACGGCTCCCCATTATCGTCCCTAAGTGACCTAACCCGTAATTCGTTCACATTATAACCTTAAGATCTCTGCCTAGACTCAACCAAATCACATGCGGTTTATTTCTAAACCTTTATATACTCAAGAAGAACAAAGAGGGAACACATCTATACGATATATACATATAATTAATAAAAAAAAGGCTCGAGTTAGGGTTGAGGTTCAAAACCTTTGTCTGAGAGGGGAGACCTCAATCAAATGGTTGTGGTAGCTTCGATTCGATCAAAGTGGATTTTAGGTGTTGGTCTAGGGCTATACTAGAGGCTGTTTGATAGGGGCTTTTCTGTGGAATCAACTTATCTCACTAAGGGGATGGTGTGTGCATAATTAATTGAAGTTTTTTTCTTGGTTCTTTTTAGATATCAGAGTCGCCATCTTGCCTTTTTTGTATGTCATCGTATAATTTCCCTATTCGAGTAAGTCTCCCTCTCTAAATAAATGAATGACTCAAAGAGGAGAGGAATCAAATAGTGAACTAACGTACTACAACAAATAGACAAACAAATCAAAAAAAAAGAGACGGGAGACGGAAAAAGAGACGGAAGACTGATATAGGGATAATCCTCGTGTGATGGGTCGAGAGTATACATCCAAACAGAATCAAATTGAAGTACCTCGGAAAAGCAACATCGACGAGCAGAATTTCTATATAAGCCACCCGTAACCAGAGAACAAAAAAGACACATTAACAAAAAAGAACATTTTTTGTTCTGGGGTCAAAAGTCTCCCAGAGGAACGTATTCCTACTAGTTAATTACATCTCGGGGGATACCCAAGAAGACTCTCGATGTAAGGAGTTTCGCTTACCATTATGAACCTGAGGTATATGTTATCAAAAGGTGATTATTTTGTATGGAACGGTCTAGATGCTTTGAAGCTCACGCTGCATCATCGGGCGGAGACTGAATCTCACACGTCCAAATGGATAGCGACTTCTCAACTCACGAAACCTACGAAATAACCATAAATCACTTCAACGAGGGTATCCCAATACGTCATAGCACATCCGGACCGTAAGGGCAGATAATAAATCGTCATATCCCAAACAGACGGCAGCTTATCAGCATCGGACCTTCAAAGTGACACCAACGAAGTCAAAGAAGTAGAATTGGCTCAACAGGGGTAGTTCAAAGGTAGGGAAGAGTAATTCTAGGAGGTAGGGGTAGCCAAGTCGGGGTACCACGAACCCGTCATCCCAGGCCACTAGGACCCTAAGTATACCTGGTCGTGAAGGTAGTCGACCCAACACAACCTGAGATCCTCGGTTAGCAATCCGTGAATTGCATCATCCACGTGAACCTCGATAGCTCAAGGTCAAAGGAAGGAAACTCTATCCTATGATTATAAACTGGAGCTCCAAGAGGTGGGACTTATACCTGCCGAAGTGGCAAGGATGCCTCAGGAAAGAAGAGAAAGTGGAGGTTCAGCTACAAAGCTGGAAACGCTCCAAACAAAAGGACTTACATCCCATATGGGTCGGCGAGCCTTATAACACTCTATGCGCACTAGACAACCACCTATATGAAGGCATGTTGGGCGAGCCAGGTTAGCAAAGTAGAAAAGTACGGGAACTCCTCCTCGGGACATGCAAATATGAATGCAGTTATCTAGAACGGTCCTAAGTATTGTGGAGGCCCTATTAATACATGCAAGAAAGTAAATGTTGCAATTTTTAAATCTTGAATATTTTAATCCCAAATTTTAATTATCTTGAATATTTTATTTAGAATTTTGTAAAAAAATTACAATTTCAGAGTCTTTAATGAGCCTATGTTGTATCGTGAAATCCAAATAAAACACAGAAAGAAAACAAGGAAACACATGCAAGTGCAGACATGCAACATGATGCAAAAAAAGCAAAGTAAGTTAAACCAAAATAATAAACAGGCCGATGCCGCTGGGTCGGCAACATATCCTAGAAAAGAAAATGGAGGTCGGACTCCGCATATACATGCCCGGTCCTAATTTTATACATCAATATAAAATGCAGAATTAAGATACGGGGCATGAGCACCTGCTCCAACCCCTCCACGTGGCTCCCGTGCTAACGTCTCGAAACCCGTACCCGTATCTTATTTCTGCTACAGGACTCTTCTTTGGGATGTTTTAATTATTGAAAGAGTATTCATGAACTACAAATTTTAAAATAAGATCTAATTTAACTAGCTTATTTATTTATTTTTTATCGGTTGGGGTTTGCAGCCAAAAATAAAATGCAATTAGTTTTCTTTCTATATTTTAATCACAGGTATATAATTCTAACAAGAAACATATATGTATGTATGTACGCATGTATACTATTTTCTATAAACTGTAGCTTAATCTGTTCTTAATTTGTTGCCTAAAATCTTTAATGAAATAAAATATATAATTATAACATAATAGTCTAGAGACAAAAATCTTTAGTTCTAGCAACTTTTGAACGTTGCATAATATTCAAATCCGTCAGTCATTCTATTTAAAATTCTTAAATTGAGCATGCTATTACTCTATATTCATTCATTGAATAATTAATAAATATTATTCTTAAGTTTTTGTTTCATATCAGCTTATGTAAATTTCGCAGCAACGTTTCAATAGTATTGTGCATATCTAATTAATTTTACATCTTCCTAAGTCTATGAGATTAGAAGCCATTCAAAAGTAATTCAATAAGCTGGAATTATATCCAAATCCTCATTGTGATGATGATTCTTAAAGGGATACATTTAGCTAATGCAAACTACTAAGGATAATAATCTCACGTGCTGAGGAATATTTTTTTCTATGATTATTTTCTCCCCTCTATGCCAAAAGCATCTTTCCTTACAAAAATTATATGTTTGGTTTTGGTTGTCCAATGTTTGCTTCGTTTAGTGCTTTAGATTAGGAATCTTTTTGTTACAAGCTGCTTGGCATAACTACTGGTAGATGTTTGAGCAGGAAGTTTATTATTTGTTGGACTAGTTTTCTTTTATAGAAAATCTGGGCTACTTGATCAATTGCTTCTTTTCCTTTTCCAGAGTCGTACAGATAGAATAGTATTCAAACTTTTTGGGAAGGAACCTAATGATTTTCCTCTTGTTTTACGGGCACAAGGTAATTGTAATGTTGAACCTGTATCTTATTTTCATAAGATTGGCTGTTATAAAATAATTTATGCTTCCCAAATGTTCAAAAATCACTTATACTTGAATTGCAGATCTCTGACTGGTTGTCTAATAGCCCTACTTACATGGAAAGCTATATCGGACCTGGTTGCATAGTTCTTACAGTTTACCTTTGGCTTGAGGTGTCTATGTGGGATGAGGTGTGCAGTTTATATTGAATGATTACAGTTTAGGAAGATTTACATCACATTTCATGTGTACTTACATATCTAACACCTAAACTTAAATTTTTTGCTTACTTGCCACCTTACCTATGCATTAAAAGCTGTATTTCCCTTTTTAAAAATTAAATGGTGGTATTTTTGATGTAATATGAAAGATTTGGGTGGTATAAATGTGAAAATTAAAGTTTAGGTGTTAGATATGTAAATACATAGGAATTGGATGGTATGCATCTAAATGCCCCTATAGTTTATCATTATGATCATGCTGCTTACAGTTTATAATATCTTCTCATTTGGAGGTGTGCCATGATCTTGGCTCTAGCTTGAAGAGGCTACTCTTTCTCTCTAATGATCATTTTTGGAGAATAGGATGGATTTATGCGAGGGTGCAACACCACATTGCCTTTATTTACAATGGTGCGTTGATTTTCTATGCTGTTAGCTCATATTAATTGAAATGGTTCTAATTTTCTTGCAACTACTTCAGGTCAGGTTGTTTTGAACAAATCCTTGATCATGGAGAGATCTGATTGTAGCAGGATTGTTGCTGTCACACCCATTGCTGTTCCTCCTTCTTCAAAGGTTAACTTTAAAGTGAAAGGTTACAATCTTGTTCGATCGACCACAAGGTTTCTAATCTCATTTTCATTTATAAGATTTCAAGATTAAACCTTTGTTGGCTAACGAATTTTAGTTTTATCTTCGAGTAAAGTCTCAAATCAGTCCCCTGGCTATTTACATTGAGTCATTTTAATCCCAGAGTTTATAAATGTGCTAAATTTGTTCCCATATTTTTTTAATGTTTGCCAGCATAGTTATCATTAGGGACTATGTCAACCCATATTAAAAGAGTCTGAGGATTAAATTAGCACTTTTATAAACTTTGGGATTATATTAACCCCCTTCAAAGAATCAATGGACTATTTTTACACTTTTCTCTTTGATCTTCTTTTTTCCAACTTCAAAGCTTTCTTATTATCTGTTTCAATGTCAGGTTACCATGTCCATTTGAAGGGAAATATCTAATAAAAGAAATAGATGAACCCGCAATCCAATATTCTGACAACAGCAGAGTGGAAACAAAAATGAACAGCTCCAATCTCTCAGCTTCTCCTGTCACATTCCTGACACAAATGGCCGAGGATTCATTGAGATCATGCAATTACAACGACTAAAGTTTTCTTCTTTTCTTAGCAAATCATAACTTCGATTTCTTATCATTTTTCAGATTGAAGATAACGTACTTAGCCCTTGTTTCTTTCCCTTCATAGTAGCAGAAGAGGACATTTGCGCTGAAATACAAGTGCTGGAGATTTCTGAAGAACTTTCGGAGAAAAATTTGAATTTCTTACATGAAATTGGTTGGCTTCTCCGTAGGAGTCAGTTAAGATCTAGTTCAGAGTTTGAGAATAGCTGTTCAGAAACTCTCTCTTTCGCGCTTTGGACCGATTTTGAGATTCACAATTGATCATGATTGGTGTGCTATTGTAAAAAAGCTCCTGGACATATTGTTTGAGGGAAACATAGAAACATATGGGCGTTCTCCTATTGACCTTCTAATGTCAGAATATCTACTACATTATGCTGTACAAAGGAATTCCAACTTAACAGTCAAGCTTCTGTTAGGATTCAAACCAGATAAAATTTCAGATGGAGGCTTAAATAATTTATTTAGACCAGATGTGCGTGGCACCTCTGGTATTACTCCACTTCATGTTGCAGCAACGAGTAGTTTTGCGGAGAGCATGCTGAATATATTGACTGATGATCCAGGACAGGTATGTTCATAATTTTCCCATCATTTGTTTCACTATACTTGATTGACTATGGTATAGAGATTAAATTTTACTTTGTTTTTCTTTTTATTTAACTATTCGATTATCTAGTCTCATTCTACTTAAAAATTAAGAGCATTTACGTGCACACCACCCAAATCTTATGTTCTTACAAATCTAACACCTAAACTGTGATTTTTTACATTTATACCACCCAAATCTTTCATATTGAATAAAAAATACCGCCGCTATTTTAGTTTTTACAAAGTGAATTACACCCTAAGGTGAAATATCTTACTGTGGCTTGCGATTCTACCTATATTGAATCCTAGCTTTTCATTTTAATTTGACCTGATTATCTTTTAAACTCCCATCTTTCTCCTCCCCAGTCAATGCCTCCGGCACAGTCGACTTCAAGAACACGCTTCTTCTCGTTGGCTGCTACTTTGCCGTCACCGCCTTCTTTTCTGTTGCTTTTGCTCCAGTTTTTCTTTGCTTTCATTGTTGTCTCCGGATTTGTTGCTTTCTTGCTTTGCTGCTCCTACCAATATCTCTACTTGCTGATCCCTTTAGTTTCGAAATCTTTTGCCTACGTCTCAGACAACTCCACTACATCCAACTGTCACCGTTTTCCTCTCAAGTGACCAAAATCTAAACTTTTCCGTTCAGACCCTGCAAACTAAACTGTATAATCCCACAAAACTAGCTTGGAAAGGTTTTTTTGGAACCTCTCTTTCTCTCTCTATCGATATTATAGGAGTTTCTTTTTTTAGTTTATTCTATTTGATTTTTTTTTTAATCTTAGAGGTATGGGTGTTATTTTTTTCATAAACTTAAAATTCTATTTAGTTGTATTGAAACGAACATTTTGTATCAATAAAAATATTCAGGTCAATTCTCCGAACCTGCATGGTATCAGAGCAAGAGATTTTACACTAGTTGTCGTTCTCCATCTGACTAGTTGAATCCCCTTCCTACAGCTAGAACTCCTCCCTACGGGCCCCTTTTTTCACCACAGATCTCCTTCCCAGCTTCTTCCTGTAGTAGAAATCTTCCTTATGTTTTTTTTTTAAGGCTGGTGCTCCTCCCTGCAGCCGAAATTCCTTGCTGCAATCTCTCCTTTGACTGGAACTTCTTCCTACAATTGGAAAATCTTACCTGTAGGTTGCTAGATGCAAGGATGAACTCCTTGCATGCCTCAGTGGCCAATTCTCTCCTTTGGCTCCGTTGCAGCCTTGGTTGTTTTTTCCAACTCCGTGCTTCCATCCGACACTATTCTTAATTCCACTGGAGGTTGCACATCTTCCCCAATCTCTCCGCAGATCGGAGACCTGAACATTAGATGAATTTCTTGATTACCACTTGTAAACTACGTTTCCCATTTGATCCAGTGGTTTCGTTATTCGTCAAAGGTCGGAGTATATTCAACCACCTTACGGGTACGATTCGAGAATCTCTAAAGACTGGCCCAACAAATGCTCCGTGGGAAATGGAGAACTTCATAGTTATGTCATGGCTAATTAATTTCATGGAAACCTCTATTGGTCGTTCCTACCTATTTCTTTCATCTGCAAGTGCCCTCTGGACTTTCGTTCTCGATACCTACTCAGACTTTTAGGTATTTATGGACAATTTTGTGAAGTTTCTAATAAAGTCCACGAGGCTTAACAGGGATCGAAGATGGTGACTCAACAATACGACTTGGTTGCATTATGGATGGAATGTGACCACTATTATGACTACACTTGGGACTCTCTTCCAGACCTTTCCCACTTTCATAAGATATTAGAAAAGGACCATGTGTTTCAAGTTCTGACTGGCCTGAGCAAGGATCTTGATGAAGGTTGTGGTCGTATACTTGGTCGTGACTCTCTTCTTTCAACCTGAGAATCATTCACCGTGATCTACCATGAAAAAAGCCAGTGACTTTTCATGTTGGACAACTCAACTTCTCCAACCGAGCCGTCAACCTTTGTCTCCAACAGTATTTCATACTCAACCATGTCGTCTCGAACCAATCACTCCACATATGATTTTTTGCTACAAACCCCACCATACCAGTGACAAGTGCTGGAAGCTCCACGAGAAACAGACAAATAAGTTTGTCTAAATCTTTCACTGCTAAAGGTCTCGCTATGACGTCATAATTCACAACAGTTCAGTCGGCTCCTACTTGAACCATTTCAGACTCGTCGGACTTTGTTAAGAGGCTGGTTGAGCATTTGATTAAGTTGCTTGGTTCTAGTCAGTTCTCTGCTGGTCCGTCGACTTCTCATGTCTGTTAAGGTAGAGTCCCTATGGCTGTTGTTGATTTTACTTCTCTGGGTCCATTGATGATCGATTCAGGTGCCATTGGCCACATGACCGGGTGTTTCCATTTTTTCTCAGTGCATTTTCCTTGTTTTTAGTGAGTTACGATTAAAATTATCGATGACTCCTTTAATTCCATTGTGGTTAGATGGTTTGTTTTACTAGTAGCTTACTTGACTTTGGAATCCATGTTACACGTTTGTTTGCTTAAATGTAACATTCTGTCGGTCAGTAAGTTAACATTTGATCATGATTGCTTAGCTCATTTTTTATCTGATTTTTGTGTCTTTCACGATCGTCGTTCGAGGGAGGATGATTGGAACTATTATGTGTTTGTCATATCTATTGGTCAACTAGTCGATATTCTCACAAAGAAGCTTCCTCCTCCATTGTTTGATAATTTCAAGTCCAAGTTCAACCTGGACTTGAACTTGGAGCAAATGTAAATATTAATTCTAATGAGACACCTTTCAGGAGGAATTTGTTTGGAGAATTTTGAGATAATAAAAACTATTATTCTTATGTAATGAATTGGGTAATGTAACGGAATGAGATGCTTTAAATATTATATGTGTCAAATAGGAGCAATCCTATTCTTTACCCTTTGGTCCAGGCATAAAGAACATTGACCAATCCTATGCTTATTTATTGAATCTGTGGCTAGGCTGGGAGGATACCGGCTCTCACTTCGGAGCTCCCACGTTCCCCTCGCCTAAGGGCTAACATCTCCGCTTCAGTACTCAAACAATAGGACCGAATTGGAGATTTTAGTCTGCCACCCTAAAATCTCCAATTCTACGCCCATCAAAGTATATTTCCCTATTTATTTGCATTCAACTCCCATGAAATTAACCATCCATGGAATCTAAATGTGGTTCTACTTTGTTGAGAATTACACAGCCCTCTAGGGTCTTAATGCAATTACATTACAATAAATTTTAACACTACAATAGGCCTTTATTGTAATGTAAATAAAGTGCAAGTAAAAACCATCACATTGATAATTAAATCCGCTTCTAACATGCATCACAAAATCCTAAACATGAATTCTACTCATTACAAAAGAAAAGTAAAATAAAAACAACGGTATAATCGTCTCATACCATTATTTTCAAACAAGAGGAGAGAGTAAGATAAACACATCACAAAGCACGAAGAAAACACAACGGAAAACATCATTTCATCAAAGCAAATCCACTAGATAAGTGTTTACAAAATCATAAGATAATGAAGAACACAATACTTAGTTTTTTTCCTTTGAAAGAAAGATGAATATCTCTCCCACAAAGTCTCCCACTGATCCATGCAATGTTAGAACATCTCTTTAAAAATTCTCTCAAAATCTCCTCTCCAATCTCTCCAAAATGGTAGAAATCTACATTTCTACTCCTATTCTAAAAACCCTAAACTTTATCCACACTTTTCCTAACATTCCTCTCACAAAAAACCCCTCTTTTTCTAACCTAAATTCGTTCTTTTAAAGTGTAGGGATGAAGTTTGAAGAGTTGCCACAAGAATCCTTTCAAAAAGCATCCAAATA